GTCGGGGGAAGAGTTCACGGGAAAGCTCACTCCGCCATGATGCTGACGTCACTCTGACCACCGACATTTTTAATTTTAATAAAGACAGACTTATCAATTTTTCTTTCATGGATCATGCTTTTGATGTTGTATCTAAAAAGTCATTGCCAGACTCAAGGTTACCTGGATTTTCTCTATGTTATCTTCCTGGAGTTAGTTCTTTTTCAGGAAGCTGTGCTCGACACTCCATACCTGATTCTATCTCTTTCTTTTTCCTTTGGTATCCAGTTTTCTCATTTCCAATTTTATTCATTTTGCAAGCTTCTCTTGAGCACCAAGTATGTTTCAACTTTATCATTCTAATGAAATATTTATTTAAAATATAATTGGATTAAATAAAATAAATTCTCCATTTGGATTGTGCTTTTTTAGTATAAAGAAAAGCATTCTGTATCCCCCAGATTCTTTGCATTTCTTCTGTAAGAATGGTCCTCAGAGAATAGAGGGATCTGGCATTTACTTGGTGCTTCTTATTTGCCAGCATCAGGCTAGTGTACTTTTATAAACTTTGTCATTTAATCATGACAGTTTGTTTATGATATTATATCTTTGTTTCTGTCATAAATTGATAACTGACTTGATTCATCTAAAAAATTTTCACCATTTCTTGAAACTTTAGTTCTCCCAATGGTGTTAGGAACTGATAGAATGTGCTGTCTCCAGATCTTTTTCCTCAACCGAGTGGTTCACAGACCAAAAGAAAAAGCACAACAACAACAACAACAAAACAAAATCCCTTCTTTAAAGTACAGAAGAAAAGCATGTATATGGGGATTGCCTGTATTTCTTTGAAGTGAAACTAGTCTTTTTGCAGTCAGATTAAACAAGAAGAATATTTAATTTTGATTCTAAGATTCAGAGGTTTGAATTTTGCAGAGTGTCCTGGCCTAAAAACTGTCAATATTGCAGGAGATGTGGGCTTTTGCACAGGCTGCAATTTGATCCTTTCAGACAATAATAACATCCAAGTTCACTGCTTTCCCAGTACATATTTTGGAAGAATTATATTTCTAAATTTAATCTTAATCTTGTGCTTTTTGAGAACGTAAAGGGGCAGGGCCTATTGAATACTTGATTTTGGAAGGTGTTTCCATAATGGTTTGCTTCTTTTTTCTTTTCTTTCAGATTTCAAATTCCTTTCCTCTCTCCCCTCTACCTTTTCTCCTTCCTTCTTGTCCCCTAAAAATATTTTCTTTATGCTTAAAGTTAAAGTTTTAATACAGTTTAGTTTCTTTTTTATTTGAGAACTTTAATTTTGTTCATCTAGGCATGATTTTCCTGATCACATTCATGTCTGGTATTTATAATTCATATTTTATTTTCACTTTTGCATATTGAACATCCATATTTTTCCGCAGTGAACGTAGCTAACATCTTATAATCAGCGAGGGGAATGGCTTTTAGGTGGCTCCAGAAGGCGGTCGTGGAATGACCTCAGCTTGCTTGTGGGTACTCACTCCACTGCCATGATGACTTTAGAGTCCTCTTGCCTTTCTGCTGGCATCTTGAAATTGTTGCTAGGGCCTTGGAGAAATGGTGGATGGTCAAATCTTTAGTATTCCTTAGCAAAGTAATATTTTTTAACTGGTTTAAATACACACTGCTTTAATCCGTGTGTCTTTTCTCCGCCTTTTCTTTTTTTTGCCACAGTCACCAGAGAAGAAAGGAAAAGAAGCAAATACTGGTTTTGGTGGGCCAGTTGTTAGTTCTCTGTATCAAGAAGAAATCATCAGGTAATTTCTGTTCTGGTCTTTGATAATAGGGATGTATATATACATATATATGTGTGTATATGTATGTTTGTGTGTGTGTATATATATATTTTTTCTGTTCATTTTTTTTTAATTGATGTCATAATAGTTTATAACATTGTGAGATTCCAGTTGTACATTATTATTTGTCAGTCGGCATATAAATGTGCCCCTTCACCCCTTGTGCCCACCCCCCGACTCCATTCCCCTGCTAACCACCAAACTGTTCTCTCTGTCTGTTAGTTTATATTCCACATATGAGAGAGGTCATACAGTGTTTGTCTTTCTCTGTCTGGCTTATTTCACTTAACGTAATACCCTCCAGGTCCTTCCATGTTGTTGCAAATAGGACGATTTTGTCTTTTTTTATGGCTAAATAGTATCCCATTGTGTGTGTGTATATGTGTGTGTGTGTGTGTGTATATATATATATATTTTTTTGTGAGGGGATCAGCCCTGTGCTAACATCTGCCAATCTTCCTCTTTTTTTTTGCCGAGGAAGACTGGCCCTGGGCTAACATCCATGCCCATCTTCCTCCACTTTATATGGGACGCCGCCACAGCATGGCTTGCCAAGCAGTGCGTTGGTGCGCACTCGAACCGGCGAACCCTGGGCCGCCACAGCGGAGCGCTCGCACTTAACCACTTGTGCCACCAGGCCAGCCCCCATGTTGTATATCTATTTAAACCTGAAAACTTGTATTTGTCAAGAACTTAAGACATGAAACTGATTTGGTGGTATCTCTAGTAGGATAATAAATGACAGGAAAGAATTTTTTAGGTGTGTAATCTTTAAAATCAGTAAGCGTCTGGATCAGTGCCAGATAGTAACCTTTCCTGCCACATAAATAGTTGGTAGGGCAAAGTTTTGTGTCTCAGACAATCTAAAGTGATGGATTTTTGTTGTTGTTGTTGTTATTAGTTTTCCTCAAAACAACATTATTTCTTATAAAGATTTTAATTTTTTATTTTGAGCTCTATATCCAAAAGAATTGGAAGCAGAATCTCAAAGGCGTATTTGCACACCCATGTTCATAGCAGCAGTATTCATAATAGCCAGGAGGTGGAAGCCACCCAAGTGTCCATCAATTGATGAATGGATAAACAAAATGTGGTATATACATATAATGGAATATTATTCAGCCTTAAAAAGAAAGGAAATTCTGACTCATGCTAGAACATGGATGAACCTTGAGGACATTATTGCTAAGTGAAATGTCAGTCACAAAAAGATAAATACTGTATGATTCTACTTATATGAGGTATCAAGAGTAGTCAGATTCATAGAAACAGAAAGTAGAGTTGGTGGTTATCTGGAGCTGGAAGGAGTGGGAAAAGGGGAGTTGTTATTTAATGGGTATAGAGTTTAAGTTTTGCAAGATGAAAAAGTTCTAGAGATCTGTTGCACAACAATGGTCAGTATACTTCACACTACTGAACTGTACACTCGGAAATAGTGAAGATGATAAATTTTATGTTATACATTTTTTTACCACAATGAAAATTTTTTTAAAGATCATTTTGTATTATTTAACAAAGGTCTTTTAAATTTTTTATGTTATGTATAAGATTTCTGGGGTAATCTTTTTCTTTCAGTGCTGTGTCTGTGTAAATCAGGAAAAGGATTCTATCCTGCTTTAAAGTCATGTGCACATTTTTCTGAGATTGTTACTTTACAGACAAAAACAGGAATTAGGAATCTCTGATGCTCTTACCCTTTTTGAGTTATCTGAATTTTACTTTTCTTACTTATTATCATGAAATAAATGAGCTCTAATTTTCAAGTGGAAAATTGGGTTCACCTAGATATATCGAAGGGAAATACCTATTTTCATAGAGTGCAGAGGAAATTGTACCAAAAATTTATGCATCACTCTTACAGAAGAGTTTGCTGACATTATCTACCAAATAAAGAAGTGGTGATAAGAGCTAGCAGCAGGTATCGTTCCAGGAGGAAGGTTTCATTCCTAGTGGTATCACTCACTGTGATATCATTCCTAGTGGTATCAATATGAATCAAAAACTTTAAACACTCACTTTCCAGTTAATGACCAGTTGGTCAGTTGATACTGAGGGTCCTGTTTTGAGTCTGTTTCCATAGCAAGCACACCATTTTTACTTAGATTAAATGTTTATTTGGAGTGGGATAGGGGAAGGCTGATGGAGATTTGAGGAGAAAAAGATACCCTTTAAGGCTGCTCTTGGCTGGGAGTACATTTGCCACCCTGATCCCTCTTAGGGACCCTGAGAACTCTGAGGGGCCCACACAGTTTTGAGGAAGCGTAGTTTAAAAAATATTTTGAATTTAGCCCCCCCCCAATCCTTACATATTCAGAAAATGTTTTGGGGTTCTTAATTTGTATATTCTGTCTTTAGAGTCTTCTAAAAAATGGCATCTTAGAGCCTTAACCATCCTAATCAAAGTTTATTAAATGTTCAAATCAAGTCAGTAAACCTTTGGGGTCATTTTTCTACGTGATAGGAGGGGAGGTTAGTCATTCCTTCTGTTTTCCCATAGTCCTTTGTTTACTCTTTTGTTATACCATTTATCACATTATACCACATTGAAGTATAATTAAAAAAAAAAAAAACTTCATCCTTTCCACTGAACTTTTAGTTTTTGGAAACCAAAGATCAGTTTTTTCCATTTCTGCATTCTCAGTATCTGAGGAAGTTCCCAGAACTTAGTAGGTATCTCGTAAAAGTGCCCAGAACTCAGGAAGTGTCCATGCTGCTTCCCTCAAGGAGCTGATAGTTTAGTGAATGTTGCTCACAGGGAGTTAGATAGTGGCCCCGTCATAGCAGAGAGCTGCTCGTTTGGTTTTCCTGTGATATTCCCATCCTCACCTCTTTTCCTAAGCAATTAAAAAAAAATGGATAGGCTATTTTCCTTTCCTAGTTAGATAAATAAATTGAGATAGATAGTTCCTTTACTTTGCTTTTTTAAAATCACTTAACTTTCTAATAATATCAATCACTTATCTATAAATAATAGTGATCTTTATTTTGTGTGCTTATTTCTTTAAGGGCATTCAGACTCTAGTATTTTTCAAAATGACGTGCTGAATACAGTTCCTTTTGGAATGTCGAGTGACGTGACCGATGGCAGTTGCTCTCGGAACAGAAAGCAAATCACGTGTGCCCCAGCCGACAGTAGATATCTGGATAACCCTATAAGATAGGGTTAAACTATATTGAAGGAGTTAACCTATCTGCTTATCCTCTACCCAACTCCTAAAGAAGTGACGCTTAGATTTAAATCAATATTTAGAATTTTGATCATGAGAAACAATAACAAAATAATATAGCTTATTTTCATAAAGTAGAGATTTTAATTCAACTCAACACACATTTATTATGAACCTGTCAGACAAAACATTGTGGATATTTGTGCTTCTCAACTTCTTCACTTTTGAGTAGTATGTTCTTAGTATTTTTTGGCATCTATGTGTATGTTTAATGAGCATTATTTGTTAATCGAGTGAAATATGAACCTCTGCTATGGGCAAAATTGATTAGTCTTGGCCTTATTTCATTAAGTCATCTAAGTATTAGTCTTCTTATGATATGATCTAAATCTTTGTATTCTGGAACACATTGTTGAGATATGGAACAGTAAGAAACATGAATGTGAGAGAGCCACTGAAAGCCTTTAAACAGTAATTTTGTTCCTACTACAGCAGATCAGAAATCACAGCAACTAGTCATTTTCTTATGTTAGAGAATTCATATATAATTGAACAGAATTCCAGTGTAACAAACTAGATCATGATAAAAATTATTCTACACTGAAGCATTGGATTATTCCAGTGAAGCACCCGATGGAGTCCCTGTTGTTTCCTAAGTATAAGAATGCAGTTGCAACAGTGAAAACAGGCCATTCGTTAAAGTTTATGTAATCAAATTTTGTGTGTGCTTTAGTGAAATATAGTATCTGGTGTTTTATTTTTCCAAGAGAAAGTTGTGCTTTATTTGAGGTTAATTGCAGTTTCATGGTAAAATTATGTTCAACTGAGGTGAAAATGACAGTAGGTTTTAGAGTTTTAGAAACATCAAATGGTAAACTTGGATGAAAGGAAAAGTTTTCTTCTGTAGAACCATTGTTTTTTAAAAACATAAAAAAGGTATTTTGAAGGTCTGTTTTGGATACTTTAGTAAATAAACCTCTAATTTTTTTTTCACATTTTTAAAGATTAGGAAAATCAGTATCTAGTAAATCCGTAAGGCTTGGGCTCCATTGTTATGGCAGCTTTCCTGACTAATGTGCATTATAGGTGATAAGTTAAGGGCCCATTTTAGTTTTACTGTAAATATTCTTGAGCCAAGGGCCCCTGGGGCCAATGAGCTTGCTCCCTGCCTGTTTTGGTCTGACCTTTATTTCCACTCTGTCACAGAAAGTGACAATATAATGTCATAGGTGCAGATCTCTGTGTTGATATTCCAGAGGCCTGACATCAATTTCTCATTCTGAAGCTAGTTAATTGTTCTGTAGTATAGTGGAGGGGATATAGTGTGAGGCTAAATAAGTACAAAAAATTATGGAGCCAAACTGCCAGCATTCAGATGCTGGTTTCACCACTTATTAACTCTGTAACCTTGGACAAGTTACTTATCTGTAAAATGGGGATAATTATAGTACCTTTCTCATATGGCACTTATGTGGATTATGTTAATACGTACACACAGGCATCCTAGAACAAGATCTGGCACAAAATAAGTTACTATGTAACTGTTAGCTTTATTAGTGTTGTTACTTAGCATAGAGTCCTAGGGCACAGGCTGATGTTAGGAGGTAAAATCACGTCAGTCTGGTTATAGAATGAGGTACAGGTTGTTTGCTTTCACAGAAGAAAATGGAAAACAGAGAAAGGAGAGCCAATGCTATTAGATCTGTGTTTGGAACAATAGAAGCAAGAGAATGACAAATCTTGTAACTTACAGACAGTTACTCTAGTCTTGAGATCATTTGTGTTTCATTTGTT